CAAAAAAACATTCATACATATACTATATGCAATGCACACACACACACACACACGAGGTATATATTACACATGTGTTAAGTCCTATTGCTCCTAGCATTACAGTAATATCTTACAGCAACATATTCGGTATCTGATGCAGCTTTGTTGAGCCCGATCCAACTGCTGTCATTACTAGTTGGACTGTAAGTGTAATTGAAAAGGAGTGACCTGCTGGATAGACCGGGATCCTGTACAATGAAATGAATGAGGGCACATCAATCATGCTACAGGTCTCTTACCACACAATCCTCATCCACGTCAATGTTGAAAGACTCAATGAGTGAAATTTGAAACAAAAACTTCCCGAGAGACAATAGACCCAAGTAAAGAGTTGCAGCAGGGTAGGCTAATCCGTTAATGATTGGAAGAGCAGCAACAAGAAGTACCAGTCCAACCAGAATGAGGTAGGAGGCACTCACCTCATAGAGACACAAGCCGAATAAAGAAAGAACAATTGCTTTGTGAATGTGAAGTTCGAGGAACCTCCAGGAGAGATACCAAATGGCGACGATCCCACGACGCAGCTGGAACAATACGTAGTTAGCAACTTTGTACAAAGTGAGCTCAGGAGAGAAATCACTATGATCCTTATCTTCCACATTCTCTTCCTCTACATGTATCTCCTCCTCATCCTCCTCCTCCTTCTCCTCTACCTCCCTTTCTCTCTTAGTATCAGTAGCCTCTCTTGTCGACACTAAATTTGTCATTCGATGAAAAAGCATTTCAGCATTCCTTGATGACACGTCAGTACTCCCATCGAGCTCTTCCTGAGCTACTGGGGAACAAAAAGTAGCCCACGGGGTAAAGTAACGTATCTGTAATGCCAGGACTATGATGAGGATCGCAAGAGGAACGAGGACATAAAAAAGAGATCTCGAGGTGTTCCCTGAGGTCGTGTACTGTAATAGACCAAGTGCATCATAGCTAAGAAAGACAAAAAGAATAATAATTATTATTTTTTAATGAGCTACTGCACTGGGTGTGTGAAATTGGCATTTTGAAATGGTCATAACTTAAAAATTATTTGTCGGAAACAGCTCAAACTTTCTACATAGCATAAGTACATCAATATGTATCTGAAAATGTAATAAAAATTGGGGGTGATTTTGGAGTCATTTTTTGAAAAAAACCATGGGCTATAGCCTTGGGTATTTTTCAAAAATTTGGAGTTTAAAAAAAATGGTTATAACTTGAAAAATTGCAGTCGGAATTGACTCAAACTTTCTACATAGCAAAAGTACATCAATATGTATCTGAAAATGTAATAAAAATGGGGAGTGATTTCGGAGCTATTTTTTGGGAAAAACCATGGGCTATAGCCTTGGGTATTTTTCAGATTTATGGCATTTTCTTAAAATGACCATAACTCAAAAAATTGAAGTCGGAATTGACTCAAACTTTCTACATAGCATAAGTACATCAATATGTATCAAAAAATGTAATAAAAATGGGGGGTGATTTCGGAGTCATTTTTTGAAAAAAAACCATGGGCTATTATAGCCTTGGGTTGACTTTGTGCATTATTAATTACAATTCTTCTGCAGTGAAATTCCATCCATGATTGCTAGAGTTGTATGCACTCATCCAAAGATCATTGATTGAAGGAAAAGGGAAGGTATAAACCAATATGAGATGAAGCGTAGTATAAGCTACCAATAGACACCAAAATGGATACATGATGTAAATCCACCATTTAGGAAATATCTATGAATGAGAGACATACAGTATAGGCTCAGATCTATTACATGTACATGCATACAACCTTACCTGATAAAATAGTAATAATATGAAGAAAAATACAACATAGACACTCTTTAAAATTGATGCATCCCCAGCTAGTATGACAAGGAGAAAAGCACCAACTACAACCAGTATCCAGTAGGTGATGAGTATCACTGTTAGCTGCGACTGCAATAAAGCAACTGTGCTTATCTGCTCTTCCTTATCTCCTGTTGAGAAGAGTAATTGACCTATGCTTTCAGAAAACACACACACACACTCGCTTACCATTAGGGGCAGCAGCTGGAGGAGCCTCCTCACTATTTTCTTTTACTAGATTCCAAGTACTAATAAACTGATAGACTGAAGCACAGAATGGCAACATTAGAAGACTCTAATGATTAAGATACATAAATTAATTTTTTTCGTTCATCCATTCCTTCCCTCCCTCCCTCTTTCTTTCATAAAACTTTCTCCGTCCTTACCTTTACGGTGAGTACAAGAGCTCTACAGTTTTGAAGAGCCCAAGGAGTTGATTGAGTATCACATTCACCAACAACTGCTACATTAACTGAGAGCGAGAGATTAAGACTGTTCACATATTGGAGCAAGACCAAAGCCACAGAATACAGCAACAGTAACGGCGAGATGAGATAGAATGAACGTTTGAGATCAATCTTTGGAATGAGACACATGCCACAGGCCCATAGAAGAAGAACCAATGCAACCCACGTTGGATAAATCACACCCCATGCCTAGAGCAAATACATGTACATTTAATTCATTAAGTTTCGTCTCTTACCATCATGGCTGCCAGCGACACAACATAGTTAACTGACATCAAAACGTGTGCTAGCTCCTTAACACGTATTACAAACTTGTCCCATAGCGTCTTTATGCTATTGAGCCTGCTCTCAATGGAGGCTATGCTGTGGCCATCACCCACCTACAGTATATGCATAGAAAGAATATATTAACACAATGGAGTTTATAATGATATAATGTCTTTATAATTACACATTATAGTACCATCATTATTGTTGTTGTTGTTTTATTATTATTCTTTTATTTACAATTATACATTTGATTTGTTTTCTACTGTGTGTTGTAATTTTACATTAATTATTGCATTGTTTTTTCATTAATTTTAATTAATTACCTACCGTTAAACTGGTTTCGTTAACCGGAGTGTTACCAGTGGCTCCGTAGCGTGGGGGAACAAAGGACTCTCCGCCCATTTCTGGCAGAACGGGAATGAAATATGAATAGTCCTTTATCCACAAATCTTTCTACAATAAAATGAATAAAAATAAAATGATTATTGCGTCAAATAAATTTTTAAAACGCTGAATAACTTTTTATAATACTAATAGTGAGAATGCAAAGAATCAGTGAAAAAGAGAACAGCAACCAAAAGCATTTCCTGTATAAACAACTACTAAATGATTATTAATATTATTAATATTATTAACGACTCATTAAACTGATTCATTAGTGCCAGGCTAACACTGTGACAGAGCTCATTAAATATTCATAGACCAGTAATAATGGGCAGTAATGATATTCACGAGGGCTGGAATGAAAAGGGAAAACAGGCAGTGCCAAGTACTCAGCAAATACAAGATCCAGTACCAGGTATGAGTCCTCGAGAATGAGAAATGAATCTCCTTGGAACCAAATGGGGACAGGAACAGAGAGGAGCAGTGGGTACCCTCGATATTTCCCCTCCTGGCACCAAATCATCTAGTCCTGTGGTCCCATGTCATGACAAAGAGGAACGAATAGAGAGAGAGAGAGAGTATAAAAGAGGAGAGAGAGAGAGGGAGGGAGGTATCAGATCAGATATAATAGAAGCTTAATTCTCTTTTGAAGATAAAGAATTTCGATAATACAGTCAACAAAGAAAATGAAAGTCATTTCTCTTCTTGTGCTACTTGTTGTCGGTCTCTTATCAAAGGAATCGACTCTAGCAGCTCCAACTCCAGCTCCAACACAAGGGCCTCCTCCTGTCAAGACAACCCTCATCACCATAATAGCAAAGGCAGAAATACAAGCGACATACGTAGCTGAAAATGCCTTTGCAATCGCTGATGCCCGAGAAACAAACCAGACAGAAAACGTGACCTACAGCTGCTTCGTAGAGCCAAGAGACCTCCATCCCTCCAGCCCACCTCCTCTCCAGCGACTGGCCAGTGACAGAGACTGGCTGGTCCAATTCCTTAACTACACTAAGGCGGTATACGAAGTCGACTGTCCTACATTCCCACCTGCTGATCGGACTTGCTTCAACATAAACTACACCATCACTAATATCATGAACCTCAAAGCACTCCTTGATAAGATCATTCCTGCTAATAAGACTGAGGGGGCAGCTGCCGAACCTATGGGCTCTGGAGAAGAGACTGAAGCTCCTTCAGCTACTCCTGTCTCATACTGCAACAGCACCAGTCACGCTCAGCAACACTGGAGCTTCTCTACTCTCGGTACACTGGCTGACCTCTTTATCAAGGAAGACCTAAAGGCTCTTGCTGGTACTATAACAATCTAAAACTAATACTAAACACACACACACACACACACACACACACACACTGCTGCTGCATTTGATGATTATAGCTATATATTGTAGTTTTTATTATTTCACTATTAGCTGCTGCTTTTCATTGTTTATAATTCAATTTTTTTTAAAAGAAGCAATTTGCAACTCACCAGATCATTCATATCCACACACTTTTAATACAAATATCATGCCAAGAACCTACAACTAACGCATAATATAATACAATGCATTTGTATGACCCAAAAATTCATTAGTAGTACAAACCTGGCATGCATGCTATTCAGTGTGTTTGTCAATAATTAAATACATACCAACTCAGAGATTAATAATAATTCTTGGGTTACATGTACCTTTGTTGAGAGCCACAACTGAAAGTCAGATCCCAGTATCCAAAACATCCCAATTAATGCCCAAGGGTTGATGAAATACGTGACTGGTGTGCCATCCCATATAAGCAACTGAGTGGGTTTGGTACATATTGTCTGAATTACAGGGGTCAACCCTAACAACCTGGGAGAGAGAGAGAGAGAGAGAGAGATGGAATAAAACATATACACATTATACTCTCATTCCTTCCTCTCATGCGTTACCTAGCAATCAAACTGTCATTGTCAGACATTGGTTCAACTGGCAGTGCTAGCTGAAATGACTGGAACTGGTAGAGATAGAGTACCACAAGGTGACAGGAGGAGTAGAGCATGGCCACAATCCTCATGAGTCTTACGAGGGACATCAGCTTGACCCTCCCATGAAAGCTCCATACAAAAAGAAGGAACAAGAAGCAGAAGTAGTAAAAGAAAGAAGTGAGAGATGGTACGACGCTACCACTAAAAAGGAACATGATAAATATCAGGAATTCAACACTCCATTGAAAACATTTCGGGAACTGGTAATATTCTTGTTGGGGGGTCATAGGACGAGTGGTAGAGGTTAGGGCAGTCGCTTCATTTGGAGAATCAAAGCCAGTTGATGGTGGGGGCTCCACTGAATGAAGAAATGAGACTTTAAGAGCAAAACCAGCTGAGACCGAACTGATGATGAGAACAACAACATCTGGCAATAAATGTCTAACAATATCAACTGGAGGAACAGTAAACCTAAGAATAGAGAAAGAAAGAGAGTAAAATAGAGCCGAGTGATACAGTAAAGAACATACAATATTAGTCCACTTTGTCTTAAAATGACTTCCAGTGTATCGCCTACAAATGAACAGTCATAATGTCACATGACAATATGTCACATGCCCAGTATAACTCACATGATCCTAACGTAAAGCCAGTTGCTAGTGATATCTGGAAACCCACTTGAGCAAGTGTGAAAAGCAACGAGGCAATAACAATAATAAAAAGATACACGACACTAGAAACTAGAATAATAGAAAAAAAAACAAAATTGTAGATAATTTATTATTAGTAATTAGTGTCATACACACATGTACATGTACACATGCAGTGACCCCCACTACAATGGCTGCAATGATAGAATTAGGAAAGAAGCTGGAAACCAGTTTAAACTATAACTTTGCTGAAAAGACAAGTGCTTACAATAGCAAGCCTGAACTATGACATCAAGTTCAAAGTTCATGTACATTCAATCATTACTCTCACAGGAGCAAGACAAACCAAAGCTAAGAGCACTCTCTTTCACCGGAGGATTTTGTGGATGGAGGATTGATCAACTGTCAATTGCATAACAATAATTATCATTATTGTCATTATTATCATTATTGCATTACTGTCAATAAATTAACCTTTTTGTTCCCTCAAACACCACCAACATCAACCATTAACGGTATTGTATTTTTAGCTATACGTGTACAATATTAAATAAATAAAAATCTGTCCTCGCTCACCCTCACCCACACAAAAACAATGATTGTATGCGTGACCTCAGCTTACATCTCTGCTTCTTTAGTTTAGGGCTTGGTATGAGGACACCAACGCAAAATAGGATCAAATAAATGAGAGAGAATAGATTGTACCGCAACAAAGAAGCTAAATAAGAGCAATATATATATATATAATTATTAAAGCAATACTATATCGATGAATTATCCTCACCAGCTAGGAGCGTCAATGGAAGAACCCACCTCCTCAAGAGGTGATCACACAGAGCAAATGCAATCTTAGAAAACACCATTTTTGTCTTTCTTGAGCTGGCTATGCCATTTGTTCTTCCAAACTTGGCATACTTACACTTAATATCCGTATAACTCAGTATACTTTTAGCTGAAGTTTTTCCGTAAAACTAAACTAGACTAAATCCGTATACTCAAGAGGCGGGGCATTTTATATTTAACCCTCGGATGCCTCCATTAAAATTTTAAATTTAATAAAAATTATTTAAAATAGGTTTTTAAAAGAATGTTTACATCAAAGAAGCTTTCAGCAAGTCACAAGGACCTCATTCATGATGTATCCTATGATTTTTATGGTCGTAGACTAGCCACTTGCTCCTCAGATCAAACTGTGCAGGTATAAATCACTCATAAGATTCCTAAACCTGTCATTGAATATTTGTGCTAGGTCTGGGATCTTGATAGTGATGAACAATGGAAACCAACTGCTCAATGGAAAGTAATGAAAAACATCACATTTAAAATTGCAACACCCTCCTACTTAATAATCGATTATATATAACCATAGCCATTTTATTGCTTAAATTTAGAGTCATTCTGGTTCAGTGTGGCGCGTCACGTGGGCTCATCCGGAATTTGGACAAGTATTAGCAACGTGCTCTTTTGATCGGACTGTGGCAATATGGGAGGAGCAAGGTACCTAATAGGATGAATTGAACATCTGAAATATTATTATTATTATTATTATTATGATTTTAGTTAATGAGCGTAAAACTGGTCAGTCCAGTAGCGAGACTCATTGGGTACTCAAAGCGTCGCTAGTTGATAGCAGGACCTCAGTCAATGATGTCAAGTTTGCCCCCAGACATCTTGGCCTGATGCTGGTAGGAAAAGAGTTTCTGTGACTAATAATGATTGTACTTAGGCGACTTGTTCATCTGATGGGAAGCTAAGGATTTATGAAGCACCTGATGTCATGAATCTATCGCAATGGCCGTTAATGGTAAGAGTATAGAATATGCTATTCAAAGTATAATTATTGATTTTCTTACTTTTGTTTAGCATGTTTTAAGTTGTAAGATCGGTACGAGTTGTCTCTCATGGAATCCGTCAAGGTAAGTATCAGGGCCTGAAATAACAGTTGAAAATTTTTAGAATTCTCTTAAAGTCATTTTGGCTCAGGACTTTGGCCTAATTTTTGAGCAACTTTGAAAATTCTTTAAAAATTTAAATTTGATTGGAGCCAGCTCAAACTTTCAACATACGAACGTGTATATGTATCAGAAAAAAATTATAAAAATGAGGAATTCTCTACTTTTCATTTTTGGTGAAATTTGGCCAAATTCCCTGTACTGTAGTACAGGGACTTTGGCCTGATTTTTGACCAACTTTAAAAATTTGTAAAAAAAATCCAAATTCATTGTTTAAATATAATTTGAGGCTCTGAGTATAAAATTGAATTAATGGACCCCTCCATGTAAACATTCCAACAGAGCTCACCCTCCAATGATAATAATTGGCACTGATGACCCCAGTCAAGCTGCAACAACACATATTCAAATATTTGAGTTCAGTGGAGATCCAAAGTAAATATATACAAGTACTTATATACATGATTTTTATTCTCTCGTGTTAGGAAGTGGATTAATATTCACAGCATAGTTGGAGTTGTATTTGAGCCTGTTCACGACATTGCCTTTGCGCCAAACCTAGGAAGGTAAGCTGTTCCTTTTGCTTTTGATTTGACTTGTGGTATTCTTGCTCCATTATTATGAAACAGAACTCATCACATATTAGCGATTGCTTCAAAAGACGTTGATATTATACACCTGGTACCTGAGGGGTAAGAGCTTATCCTGGCATTACTGGACTCTCTCATTCCCTCCTCCTCTCTCTCTCCACTTTTCTCTCTTCCTCCCTTTCAGTACTGATTCCTCTGGTCACACTAAACTAGAGGTAAGGACCCCAGCACAGTTAGATCATAAGGGTAGTCAAGTCTGGAGGGTGGAATGGAATGTAACTGGTACCATATTAGCCACTGCAGCTGATGATGGCTGCATTAGACTACATAAAGGTACCATTGTTATTACTATTGATAGTATTTCATTCTTTTGTTAGCTAACTATCAAGGTACATGGCAATGCATATCCAGTTTTCATGGAGATGGCTCTGTCTCTACTCCTGCTCCTATTCCTCCTCTTGCTGGAACACCCTCTGCCACGAGCAGTGCTACTGCACTATCAGCCATGGGAAACAGTCACTTATGGTTAATGATCAATCTATTTAACCACATCTTTTTGATAGTTTTTTTTTTTAATTTTAGGAGAGAGCTTGGTGATCTATAACACGTGAACTCCGTATTCTTTGTTTTGAATAATTTAATTTTCGTGTTACGTTCTTTGTAAATTATAAAATAAAATTAAAAAGAATTAGAATAATAATTATGTCCCTGGTTTTTGCTAGAAGGGTTCTTCAGGGGAGAGCTCCTCTTTTGTTATCCTCTTCCTCGTCAGCAGTACCTTCCATTCATATGCTGTGGCGTCGTTCTTTCTCTTTATCAAATGAGGACAAGGAGAAATTGGAGGCTGCCAAGGGAAAAGTCAGTCAGCTTACCACTGATCCTGGGAATGATAAAAAGCTGGAGTTATATGCACTCTACAAGCAGGTTATATAAAGGCATTAAAAATAAATAATTTAAATTTTTTTTCAGGCTGTCGAGGGCCCTTGTGATACACCTAAGCCAGGTGTGATGGATTTTGTTGGACGTGCTAAATGGAATGCTTGGAACTCATTAGGACAATTATCACAGGTGGATAGCAAAATTTAATTCAATATCAGTCTTCTTTTATTTTGTAGAGTGAGGCTGCCGTCAAATACAGTGAATTGGTTGATTCTCTGGTTGGTAGTAGTACATCTAACGAGACCGCATCTCCTTCAAATCCTGTCAAACTGTCAAGCGATGATTTGCTAGTGACAGAAGAAGGCGGAGTTCAGACCATCACTCTAAACCGTCCCTCAAAGAAGAATGCCATAACAGTCAAAGTATGGTGGAATTCTTCAATTCTTATCCTTTCCCTTTCTTCAGATGTACGAGGACATTACTTCTCTCTTGAACTCAAGTGCCAGTAACCCAGCTATCAAAGCTACCGTGGTGACCGGTAACGGAGACTACTATTGCAGTGGAAACGACCTTTCTAATTTTATGAATATCCCTCCAGAAGGACCAGAGAAACTAGCAGCTGATAGTGCAATATTACTGAGGTAATGCAGCCGTATGTACTTTACAACAGGTTCCAAGACTGTTTCTATTTTAAATTGAAGCTCAAGTTGACTCGCGTATTGTATTTGTATTGCTTCTAGGAATTTCGTTTCCAGTTTGATACGTTATCCAAAGCCATTGGTTGCATGTGTCAATGGACCTGCTGTTGGCATATCAGTTACTACACTCCTTTTATTTGATTTAGTATATGCAGCAGATAATGTAAGCAAGTAGTATAACATTATTATTATGGCCTTTCATTTCGTTCTCCTCTCCTTCCTCCTTCCTCTTCCACAGGCAACATTTCATACTCCATTCATGCAATTGGGACAAAGTCCTGAGGCTTGCTCGTCATTCCTGTACCCGCGAATAATGGGACCGGCTAAAGTATGAATCAATCAATATTTTTATGTTAATGATTTTTTCCTCTTGCACACTACTCTACAGTCCAATGAGCTATTGATATTAGGACGTAAGATATCGGCAGAGGAAGCTTTTGAGAGAAACATGATTACAAGAGTGTTTCCAAAGGACGAGCTACAAGAGAGAGTCAAGGAGATAGTGAGGGAGCTATCAGAGTTGCCTCATCAATCGGTTGTGAAGAGTAAAGCACTCATCCGCTCCTCATTTACTGATCTGTTGGAAGATGCTAATGCTAAGGAGTGCGAGCTACTCAGGGAGAGGTGGCTATCAGAAGAATGCATGCAAGCTATAATGAAGTTCTTAGAAAAGAGAAAATAAGCATAGCAAAAACATTTATTGTAGCATTTATTTTAATCAGGTGTCTTAGATTTCTAATCACTGAAAAGATTGGCAAGTAATATTTATTTCAGCAAGTTTGCTTAGTTTATTTAATTATTGAGCGTCAAAAAAAGGAAAAAAATTGGCGTGTGGTGTATGCTTGCATGAGGCTCATGTATGTATTCACAAGTAATTGCATGATAATCTTAGTTCTGTCAATAAAAGGACTATTAATCTAGAGAAGTCTTTGCTTTACAAGCACTGAAGCTCACCAATTTCCAAGATGCTTTTTTTATAGATAGATCTAACTGTGACCACACCCGCTTTTTCTGGGTGTGGCAGTTCCAAATGGCTGGCTTTTTGGGTCCACGGTTGTCTAGACTTTCCTTGTCTTCTGTCAAGCAACACTTGCCCAGTAGAGCAGTCTCTTCTTCCTCTTATATTCTGAGCAGTAAACTGTCGGCTGCCAGTCCTGATATTCCCAGACCATTCTCTGAAATACCAAGGAAAAAAGGATTCCTCAAGTACTGGGATTGGCTCGGCCCTAGGCCTGAGAATGTAACCATCAAGCGTTTCAAAGAGTTGGGACACATTTACCGAGAGTCCTTGCCTTCTTCTGGTTTCCCTGAGTTTGTAGTGGTCTGTGACCCCGAGGATATAGAGAAGGTCATTCGAGCAGATGGTAGGTGGCCTCTGAGAGATGCCATGCCGCTCTGGAGCGAACTGAGGGAGAAACTTAACCTCCCGAAAGGATTGTTCCTGTATGTAGTTTAATTGTGCACAACGCCTTTTTTATAATCACTATTTTCTTTTCATAGTCTAAATTATGAGGAATGGTACAATCAGAGGAAGCCTATGTCACAATTCATGATGGTGCCTTTTAAAGTTCAAGAGCATGCGCCAGTTTTTAATGAGATCACAGATGATCTCATTAAAGCAATAAGAGAACAGCGTCACCATGATACCAGGGTATTGTCCGATGTACCAAAACTGTTCTTTAACTGGTCATTCGAATGTAAGCAAAAGTTTTAAAATTACATATATCACTACTGTATATTGTGTGTTGGATTGTATCTCTCTTTTTAGCTGTAGCATATTTTGTTCTTGGGAAGAGACTGGGAGCACTAGACCTTGACAATGTGCCAAAGGACTGTCAAGAGTTTATATCAGCTCTGCAAGAGTTCTTTGCTGCTACACAAGATCTGCTGTTTAGCAATCCTCTCAAGAAGCTCTTCCCCACAAAAGCATTGAGCAGTTTGAAAGAGACGCAAATAAAAATATACCAACTCTCGTTGAATTATATCAGCGATCGAATCAGAGAAATAAAAGAGAGAGAAGAGGAAGGGAAGGAAGAGCCTGATGACAAGCGACCTGACTTTATGACATATATGATTGAGAACAGTGGAATGACATTGGAGCAGATTTCAGTTAATGCACAAGACCTCCTTGGAGCTGGTGTAGACACTGTATGTGTGAATGCATTATTAATGAATGTTTTCTTATGCTTCTACCATTATATTTTAGACATCATATACTCTTGCTTGGTGCTTATACTGTCTGGGCACTAACCCTGATGTTCAAGATAGGCTCAGAGAAGAGGTCAATAGAGTAGTAGGAGACTCTACTGTTATAACTCCTCATCACATACATCATCTACCATATCTCAGATCCTGCTTTAAAGAATCGCTGAGGCAAGACTATTTCTTTGTATTTGATTTACTATGTGCATACTTGTTATAGTAATATCTACCTTTTAGGCTTTACCCAATAGCAGCAAACAATATAAGGATATTAAATAAAGACATTGTATTATCTGGTTATGAGCTGCCTCAAGGAGTAAGTTACACTATAAACAACCATGCCACTACTTTTGAGTTACTGTTTCATTCAGTCACTCATTTATTTCTTATTCCTCCAGACCACCGTCCTAATGCCTACCTATGCAATGGGGCGCTTGCCACACGTATTCAATGACCCACTCTCATTCAAACCCGAGCGATGGGAGAAAGGAGATGATCCTACTCAAGAAGTGCCTCGTTTTGCATCTCTCCCGTTTGGATCTGGCCCTAGGATGTGTGTTGGTCGTCGTGTAGCTGAGCTAGAATTGCATATTGCTCTTGCCCGTATCATTGGTTCTTTTAATGTCTCTTATACAGAGAAGACACCTATGGAGATTGCTCTTAAATTTTTATTAGTCCCAAAGACTTCTTTGAACTTGAAGTTTGAGGACATCAAATAAATGTGTTTAGTAATAATAATAATATATCATTTGTGTTATTTTTAACTGCCCTTTATTCATTGTTGAGCTGATATACCAATTTACACCAATTTTATGTAAAAATGCTGTGTTTAGGCATTTGGCTAAATGGAGGATCTTTTCCTTTGTTGCAAGCTAGAAGTTGACACGAATTAATTAGAATGCAATGATTTCACAAAATTAGCACAAATCAGATTGAATAATAATAATAACAACAAACTAATAATTATTAGTATTAACAGCTAATAATAAATAAATACTAACAGCTAGCAGTCAATCCCAAAAAGGAAGGAATCAATAACGATAGTAGTCAGGTTTGAAAGGCCCCTCTTTACTAACCCCAAGATATTCGGCTTGTTGGTCACTGAGTGTTGTCAGCCTAACTCCCAGATGCTCTAAATGGGCACTAGCAACTTCTTCATCCAACTACACACAAAATAAGAACATGTAATCATCTCTCTTTCTGTCTATACCTTCTTTGGAAGATAATAAAGACCAACAGGATACTTGTCAGTATTGGTCCAGAGTTCAATTTGAGCTAGCACCTGGTAATTATTACGTTAATAATGACTTAGTATCCCACCCACTCACTTGATTAGTAAATGAATTACTCATTACAAAGCTTGGATGACCCATAGCACATCCAAGGTTAACCAAACGACCCTCGGCAAGCAAAATAACATGACGACCATTAGGCAACTCGTAGCGATCAACCTAGAGAAGTAATAAAGTACACCATCTTACCACACTCTCTCTCTCCTTCTACCTGAGGCTTAATGGTGTCTTTCTTGGCATTAGTCTCAAGCCATGCCACATCGACTTCAATGTCAAAGTGTCCAATGTTGGCAAGAATGGAGTTATCCTTCATCGCCATGAAGTGCTCAGAGCGAAGGATGTTCATGCAACCAGTGGCAGTCACAAATATGCTGGCACGAGTTGCTGCATCCTCCATTGTTGTGACCTCATAGCCTAAAGAGAGAAGGAGAGGTACAGTAAGACGAGGAAGGCAAGTTTTACCTTCCATGGCTGCTTGGAGGGCAATGATAGGATCAACCTCACAAATAAGCACACGAGCGCCAAAGGACCGAAGACTCTGAGCACAGCCTTTACCAACGTCACCATATCCGGCAACAACACAGACCTACAACAAATTTTTCTAGCAGCTACTGTATCAACACTTGCTCTATAATACCTTTCCGGCCAGCATAATGTCTGTTGCTCTCTTTATGCCATCAACCAATGACTCACGACATCCATAGAGATTATCAAACTTACTCTAATTTAAAGATAGGGAGAGAGAGAGAGAGAGAGAGAGAAATAAGCTAATGTAGGACATGTGACAAAGTGTTTTTGAGTATAATAACAGTTATTATAAAAATGAAGTGGTATCAGAGATGTGAGGTCACCTTTGTCACAGAGTTATTGACATTGAAGGCTGGCACCTTCAATTCACCTTTCTTCATCATTTTGACAAGATTAGCAATACCAGTGGTTGTCTCTTCCGATAACCCTTTAATACCTGTAATGATGAATAGAAGAAGAATGGACATTATTTAATAATAATACACATACCTGGTAGTAACTGGGGATACTTAGTATGTACAAGATTAGTAAGATCTCCTCCATCATCCAGTATCATGTTCAGTTGACCGCCATCAGGCCAGAAGAGGGTCTGCTCTATACACCATATGTACTCCTCGTCCGTCTCTCCTTTCCAAGCATACACGGCAACGCCAGTCTTAGCAATGGCAGCTGCTGCGTGATTCTGTGTAGAGAATATGTTACAAGAGCTCCACTGGACCTGAAACAGAGAAAATAATTAAAACAACAAGCAACTTATAAAAATGCGTTTTTTAAAATTTAATATTAAAGATAAATACATTATAAAATAGCCCGTCAGCCCATTTTGCATGCGTTAATACCTCAGCTCCTAGTTCAGTGAGTGTCTCAATGAGTACAGCAGTCTGTATGGTCATATGGAGGCAACCAGCAATCCTAGCACCTTTCAATGGTTTGGAAGGGCCATACTTCTTCCTCATCATTATCAGGCCTGGCATTTCTGCCTCTGCTAGTACGATCTCCTTACGACCGAAATCAGCTTCATCGATGTTAGCTGGTGAAAAAGAGAGAGAGAAGTGGGCAATAAATGGCAGTAACATCATATTTAATAATAGCTTGTAACTTACCAACTTTGTACGGGAGCTTGTTTGAAGTAGACATTCTAAACTAGTTCTCTAACTTTGTGGATTGACCTGTAAAGACAAAAGACAAATGAATTATTCTTTTCAAGAGCTCTTCTTCAAGCTTGCACGTGGTGGAATGATAATGAATGGGCCAATATTATACTAAGGATATTCATGCAATTGAGGTCAAAGAAGCATTAATTTTAGAGGGTGTGGTTAGTATTTGACCACACCCACCACGTGGAGAATGACTGATTGTAAGAACAAGTTTTCTCTCTCTAAATCTATCTCTTTCTCTTTCTTTAGATTCTTCTGACCTCTATTGGTTCTCAGATAGTCACGTGACTCCTGACCTACCACAGGACCAGTATTATTACAGTAGCCATTGTTCAGCGAACACTCCAATCATCGTTGATAATGGAAGCTGGAAGTGTAGGGCGGGATGGGGATCACTTGACCAGCCTCAATTTGTGTTTCGGAGCCTAATGGCTCGAATGAGAGGGAAAAGGGTACTAGCAGGGAATTCGCTGCTTTTTATTGATGGGTGTGGTTTTTTATTAGGGAGAGAACGATTTTACACTTGTCGGTAATGATATCGGCAATATTGAGTCTCTTCGCTCGTCAATCAAGAATCAATTTGATAGGAACGTAGTAACAAATTTTTCAAATCAAGTCAGAAATGAGATGATATGTTTAACGAATTCTATATTCATAATAGGAACAAATTTTTGATCATTTATTTACATTGCTTGGTCTAAGTAACGAATCGTCAGTACATCATCCTGTGCTTGTCAGTGAGCCACCTTGTAACCCACCATATTGTAGGAACAGTGAGTTCACATTGAACGAAATGAACAGGCAATAGTATATCTCTATAGTTATGTCAGAGCTTCTCTTTGAATGTTATCAAGTCCCTTCGGTCTCTTATGGAATAGATGCTTTATATAACTTGTATCATACTTTAGGTTAAAAGATAATATAAATCATTTTCTAGTAGACTTTCTCTCTCTCCTCTCTCTTTCTCATTTCTTGTTTTTATAGGTGGGCGTGTAAGTGACGCTCTGGTTATTAATTGTGGTTATCAAACGACCCATGTATGCCCTGTACTGGATGGACTATTCCAGCCTGATCAATGCAAGAGGTTTAGTCATAAAATACTCTTTATAATTCACGATCTACTCTTGTTAGGATTAATGTGGGAGGGTGGCATATATCAAGTTACCTCCAGAGGTTGCTTCAGTTACGCTACCAAGCCTTGCAATCGCTTATATCGCTGACAAGAGCAGAAGAACTAGTCCACACTCACTGCTTTGTGGCCGAGAGATACATAGAGATGCTTTCAAAGAAGGACTGGCCTAAACTGACCGTCCAGTTGCCTTATGTTGCAATAGGAGGAGGAGGAGCTGTGGGCGGGGCTAGTATTGATCTTGCCAAGCAAGAGGAGAAAGTTTTACAAAGGAGAGAGAGGGCAAGGCAGCATTTGTTGAGACTTAGTCAAACTAAAAGAGAGGAAAAAGTTAGTTTGTTTTTATTTTATTTAGTTCCTACTTGCTCTGTCTCTTTTCATTAGATTGCTAGTTTGGAGGGACAATTAGAAAAACTCATTCATCTCCAGCAATTAGCAGCTGTCATGTCGGATCCAGAAGAATATAGACTAGCACTGGAAGAGTCTGGATTTAATTCTTTAGAGGTGCATTCTTATTATTAGTATTTATTGCACTATTCTTCTTCAATAGAGTGTCTTAAAGGAAATTTCACAGATTGAGGAAGTGTTAGAGATAGAGAGATCCCGTCTTTTAGCAACGCAGCAAAAAATGCAAGAAGCAGCAACGCAGGCAGTGACAGGAGGAGGAGAGAGTAACGAGCCTAAAGTTGACTCTCAATGGCTGCAAGTATTACAAACAAGAAAGAAAGTGAGTGTAAAGGATTGATAGATGGACAGAGAGGAGTTACCATTCATTGACAGGAGATATTGGAACAGAAAAGAGTTCGTAATCAGCAGAAGCAAGAATATAGTAAGAGAAGGTCGGCAGCCTCGCAGGATAGGATGAGAATCATATCACAATTAGCTGAAGACAACTCAGGTCAGTCCTAGTAGACCATATAAGACTTGAATTGCTTACCAATAATAGGTAAAAAGAGTGGAAGCCAGCCTGATACTTTTGGCATGAATGATGATGACTGGAACATATACAGAGCCATTGTAAGCCTCTCCATGCCAGACCTTAAGGTTTAGCCTTGAATATCTTATAATAGCATAAGCCTGGGACTGGTGGTGGGTCTGATAGTGAGAAGGAAGAAGCAGAACTGGCTGAGATTAATAAAGTATTGCAGCATCATGAACCAGTCAATCCTGCTGGAACTAGCTCACACTATCAATTACAATTAGGTGTTGAACTGTGCAGGTATGCCTCTAAGCACAAAATCTTTTAAATAGTTGTCGTTTTTAGAGCTTCAGAAGTGTTGTTCCAACCATCAATGATAGGATTGGATCAGTGTGGTCTGATCGATGTTATTGAAGCTGTACTTTCAGGGTATACTCCTGACGTACAGAATAGACTAATGAATGTATGCCATTTGCATAGCTATTATTTAAAATCTTTCATTCTGATTTTTTATCGCTTTTTATCCTAGTGTGTCTTTGTATGTGGAGGTAGCTCACAATTAAAAGGAATGGAGGAAAGACTCAGTATAGAGCTAACTGCAGCAAGACCATTCCAGTCAACATTCACAATACTACCGGCTGGTAAGGTTCCTTCATATGGAATGGAATGGATTAGTTTCTTTCCTTCATAGCTGACAAGCTGCATGGGAGCTGGAGAGGTGCAGCACTTTATTCATCAGATGAGAGTGTGTGGTTTACACGATCACGATATATGGAGGAAGGGATTGAGTATCGTATTGAACATTTGGCCTCTAATAGATGCACATGATTTAAATTGATTTTATTCATCACATTGTTTTAGCATTGTTTTTAACTCAATTTTCTGCCCACGTGAAAACACGTGTGTGACTAGTGGCGCGCGCGGGAAAGTTGTAGGTGTGGTAATGCATCACGTGCTCACTTTCAAGATGGCGGTGAGGGAGAGTAATCAAAATTTTTAATTGTGTAAGCTTTTGGTGACCCACAGACAGTTAGACGTGTTTTCTTTTGATTTACCTTTCTCTTAGTACGTTCAAGCTTGCTTCTAATGAGTTTGAGGGACTACTCCGAAATAAATACTCATAATACTTGACCCCTCCCATCTCCTCTTCTGTTTTCATGGCTACTGGGGGTCGTGTGAAGCTATATTGTTTCAATGAGAGTCTGAAATGGAATGATATGGGGACTGGTCGGATCAGTTTGATGTATCTCGAGAGACTCCAGGGACTAGCCATTATCATACGCTCGGAAGCTGATGGTGAGTAGAATTCAATTACATGCAATTATTGTAATTGGATCGAATTTAAAATTAAAAAAAAATTATTATTAATTTTAAAATAATTTATTATTAATTTTTTTTTATTATCGTGGGGAGGGGTTGCAATTTTTATTTATTTTATGTCTGTTTTTTTCTTTTAAAAAATTACAGGCTCACTGCTGTTAGAGTCGAGAGTTACCCAGGACAAAAACTACCAGAAACAAGAGGTTAGCTTATTTATATTTCAAGGGAGGAGTAGAGTGTGAATGTCTTTGTCCATTTGCATAGGAAACTCTGATCGTGTGGACGGAAGAGATTCAAGAAAGTAATGGAGACTTGGCCATTAGTTTTCAAGACATGAAAGACTGCGATGACATCTGGTTAAAATTATGTGAAGTAAATAATCACTTGACTAGTATTTACTTTGCCTTTTTTCTCTTTCCCTTTCTTTCAGTATCAAGGTAAAGATCCCATCGAATGTTCCCAAGAGTTTTCCGAAGATGGCGAAATATCGGATCAACTAGCCGACACGTCGGCTACAATCGAGCTCCCTCCTTGTGAACTGAGTAAACTCGAGGAGATATACAGCATTGTTACGAGCGCTCTCTCGGCCCCCGTCCCTCGTGAAGAACTATCCTTAGTACTAGAGAGAGACAATTACGTTCAGAAGCTCCTCGATTTGTTTAAAGTCTGCGAGGACTTGGAAAACTACGACGGTCTACACTTGCTCTATAACATCTTCAGGACGCTGTTCCTTCTTAACAAAGTCGCCATCCTCTCTGTAATGTTTCTTCCCTCTAACATTATGAATGTCATTGGGGTCCTGGAGTACGATCCGGGCAAGCCCCAGCCCGTCCCTCACCGGAAATACCTTGAGCAGACCTCAAAGTACAAGGATGTCATTTCCATTGGGAACTCTGAGATAACAGAGAAGATTCACTTGACGTATAAAATGTGCTACATCCAAGAGGTCATCCTTCCCACTCCGTCTCTCTTTGAGGAGAACATGATGTCCGCCTTCAACTCTCTTGTTCTTTATAACAAGAGTGACATTGTGAATTCTATCCAGGTCAGTCTTTTTCATTAATTTTCAGAGGGTCTTAACTAGCTGTCAATAGTATGCAATGCTACATGTGGTGCTAACATACCTCTTCCGTCTCAACTATATTCTTATCCGTCGATGGANCTCTCTCTTCTATTATCTACTCTTGCTAATAGTGCCTATACCTCCTTGTAAGTATGTGATTTATGTTGTTTAGGATAACGGACGGTTGCTCTATGAATTGCTATCAAATCTCAAGTCTGAATCAATAGCTATAGAGAAATATAGAGAATACGTAAGTATAATTATTATAATTATCATTATATTATGCGTGTACATGGTTTTAAGCAACTTTGAAAATTCGAAATAAATCCAATTTTGATCCGAATCAGTTCAAAGTTTCTACACAACATAAGAACATGTATGTGTATCAGAAAAATTATAAAAATGGAGAATTCTCTACTTTTAATTTTTGGCGAAATTTGGCTAAAATCACTGTACTATAGTACAGGGACTTTGGCCCCATTTTGGAGCAACTTTAAAAATTCCTTAAAAAATTGATTTTGATCGGAACCAGCTCAAAGTTTCTACACAACATAAGAACATGTATATGCATCAGAAAAAATTATAAAAATGGAGAATTCTCTACTTTTTATTTTTGGCAAAATTTGGCTAAAATCACTGTACTACATGCATGTATATCAACGTTATTTTTTCACTAACTTTCAGGCTTTATTTCTTCGCGAGTTATGCAATTTTGCTCAATCTCTCGAGATGGAAAGTGGCACTAAATTCTATCACAGACTCTGTGCTTTTGAGCTCATGCCAGCCCTTGAGCACATGTTGGTGAGTGGGTGTGGTCTGGGGTGTGGTCTCACTGCATTTTTTGTACTTGTAGTCATGTGAAGTAGAGGATGTTGTGGGCGTGGCTGTCGATATCATTAATCAAATTAGCGAATACAATACTTCGATACTTAGAGATCATATTCTCAAACAAAGTGATGCTGAAGAGGTAAGTCACTCATTTTATCCTGTAGAATGTGGATGTACATGTATAATTCAAGTCAAGTTGTACATGTGTATATGTACATTGTATATTCAAGAGACTCAGTAAAACTCTCTTTCTCTCTCTCTCTCTCCCTCACTCACTCACTCTCTCTCTCTCTCTCTCCCTCACTCACTCACTCTCTCTCTCTCTCTCTCTTTCTAGGATTCACATTTCTTAAATATGATCATTGGATTGCTTGTTGATGCACAGTTTACCAGTAAATCATTATCTTCGCCCGATCGTGTGAGAATGCCAATTCTCTTTTCTTCACTTGTAGGTATTGACGTACAGTTGGTTGTGCTGATAAAGACACTTATTGATCCTGAGAATATAATGACTGATCCAACTGCTGTGAGTTCTCTCTCATTCCTTCTCATGTATATTCTCTCTCTCTCTCTTTAGCATACTGTAGAGAAGACTATTTTCCTCAATTATTTTTACAGACATTGCATGCATCGTTTGATGGCTCCGCTCATGTCACAGACGACAGGAGACAAAATAAGTAAAGGTTAGTCTTTAATGCTCCCTGCCTCTCTATCTCTTTTCTCCTCTGCTAACAACCCCCCCTCTCTCTCTCATCTTTTTCTTTTTTGTGTTATTCTCCAGACACTGGTTCCAATGCTGTCCTCCTCAGTCATATATTGGATTTGTTAACAGTGTGTGTTGAGAAGCATTCTCACTATATCAGGAAATACGTCATAGACAAGAACCTCCTTGGGAGAGTCTTAGTCCTCATGACATCAGCTCATCGCCATCTCATACTAGGTTGATTTTTTATTTCTCTCTCTCTTTTACTTCGCTATTTTATTTCTTTTTTAGCTTCTTTGAGGTTCTGTCGCAAGATTATTGGTCTAAGGGATGAGTCCTATTATCTTTATTTGACCAAACACGATCTCTTTGGCCCCATCATAAAGACGCTGGAGTCCAATGGAGACAGGTACAACATGGTCAATTCGGCGATTTTGGAAATGTTTGAATTTATAAAAACTGTGAGTGAATTTATTATTTTTAATAGATCATCATTATTTTTGTTACTATTAATAGATTGTTACTTTTGATAAATTATTATTATTATGTTCATGCATCAATTAATAATCAATAGTAGGCATTTTTATTTGTTTTTATTCTTTTTCTCTGTTCTATCCTCCTTCAGGAGAATATCACAACACTCATTATGTATACAGTTGAGAAGTATGCTCAGACTCTTCAAGGGATAAAGTATGTCTCCACATTCGAGGCCCTCAAGCTCAAGTATGATCAGAAAGTGGATGCAAATTCTAAAGTATCAGAAACACCAAAGTAATCAAGCAATGCAATCATCTATTATTATTATTATTATTATTATTGATGTTGTTGTAGGGGTATCATTCATGGGTCTGTGAACCGTTTTCGGCGTGACCCTCGTGAACTTGACGAAGACGAAGAGAGTTGGTTTAATGAAGAAGAGGAAGCCATCGTCTCAGAAAACGTTCCTCCAAGATCCTCTCTATCATCACTTTCTCGACTCAGCCCTCCTGTTACTAATTCTCTCTCTCCTCCTCCCACTTCTCCTTCTTCCCCTCCCCACATTTCCTTTTATCCTTTTGGTAATTTGCCTCGTCCTAGACTTATCCGTTCCACATCGCCTGTCATGCAACCAAAAGCCCCCTCTGTTAGTAATAATAATAATAATAATAATAATTTTTAAAATAATTTAGTAGCGGTGGGCTTGGCTTGCTCTCCATGTTTTACATTCTTTTAGTTATTATTTTATTCTTAAGGCACTACACAGTCTTGTTGATTATGATGAAGATTCTGATGAAGAGACTGGAGGTGATGAAGACGATGCTGGCGGCAGCAGTCCAGCCAAACGACAAAAACTGGATGATTCATAATCGCACTGTGCTTGCTCTCTTTTTACTCTTTCTCTCTTCCTCTTTATAAATTTCACTACTGGTTATTATTATTATTATTGTTATTATTATTATTATATTTAATAAAAATAATAATCTTTCCGTACCCACACATCAGTGATGTTGATGTTATTCATGACCTCTGCTGCGCCTTGTCAGCTTTTGATAAACATTAAACACTTTCACTTGAAAAGATGGCGTTACTTTTGATGGAATTCTCTCTTATAACTCTATCACTTCTCTCATCCTCTGTCCTCTCCTATCGACAGTACAATGTCCCTTGTACTCCATTCACTCCTTCTTGTGTGTGTCCTCTAATGGATGAAGCCGGAAAGAAAGTGGAGGTCTGTCTCTTTTCTCTCAAAATTCAGACTCTTCGATCCTTTACCAGCTACTACCTGCCTTCAGAGCTGGAGGGGAGAGTCGGTCATGGCAGTAACTGGTACATTAACTCGACCAGTGGGGAGTTCTTGCCATCGACAAATTCTAAAGGAAAGTGTAACAAAGCAGAGAAGCTAATGGCTTCTGGTACCTGCTCCATTCCTTCCTCGTTAGATGGCTACACATATCGTCCCTTTATTGCCGTCAATGGACAATTCCCTGGACCTACGCTAATTGTTCATTATAATCAGACGTTAACGATAAACGTGTCAAACTGGTTAAGTGGGGAAACTGTAGCGATACATTGGCATGGGTTAAATCAGAGAGGAACGAATTGGATGGATGGGGTCCAAGGTCTGACGCAGTGTGGGTTGGAGCCGGGACAATCATTTAAGTAATGTTTACACAGGTTGTTGTTTGTGTTTATTTTGAGTTTTTTAGGTACATATTCCAGGCCGATCCCCCAGGTACGTATTGGTATCATGGACATAGTGGTTCGTTGAGAGCTGATGGACTTTTTGGAGCTCTCATAATTAAAGAAGACATGGAGACTCTAAATAAAGTGAGAGAAAAAACTGGACTTAATTTCACTGATGATCCCGACCATCACACTGTGACACTTTTTGACCTTCAGCAGTTCACTGCAAGTCAAGTCCACAGTCTTGTACACAGTGCTCCTTCAATTGATTCAGAGACCTCTAAAGGGACAGAAAAGGTAGTTGAAATTGATCATGGTGCCACTGAAGCTTCACACATACCGTTTTGGTCTGGCTTGATTAATGGTAAAGGACGTCATCCTAATACCAGCTATGCAAGCACTAGATTAAGCATATTTAGTATCTCACCCTCTCGTTTGTATCGGTTTCGTATCATTGGATCCCAATCAGTTTATAGCTACCTCTTCTCAATCGATGAGCATTCAATGACTGTACTTGCAACCGATGGGTCATTTGTTGAACCAATGTTAACAGACTATCTGATAGTGTCATCAGGCGAGAGATACGATATATTAGTACAGGGCAAAGGGATTGATGACTTAAATGAGAGAACTAGTTTTATGATAAGAGCAAGAACGCTTGAGCCAATTCCTAATTCCAATGTTCACGATCCTTTGCTGTACAGGGCAGATCACACTGCAGAAGCTCTGCTACACTATGATGTGTCTCCAGAACCCAATTCAACTCAATATACTAACATTGCTCTCAATTCTATACCAATTGATGATAAGTGTACCGAAGGGGACCCATGCTTTGTTCTTAATTGCCCATTTCCTTCATTCCCTCCATCTTATAACATTACTTGCTTGCATGTTCACCAGCTCAAGCTATTATATCCATCACCAAATGAAGACTTACCTCATGTTGTTCCTGATAAGAGAGTGTTCCTTAATTTTGCTTTTAGCGGCTATGATGGAATGAGCTTAGTGAATGCTAGGAATTTCAAAATGCCCATTGCTCCTCTCTCTTTATTAAATTCTTCTGAATTGGACGTTGCCAGAAAAAAGACATTCTGTAAAGATGTGAAGAATTCTTCGTTATGTGATTCCTTTTTCTCACCTTCCTGCCTCTGTACTAATGTAAAGACAGTCTCATTCAACCAGTCACTGCAAATGGTTTTCTCTGCTCTTGGCCCTAACCCAGACAACGTTTTGCCATTCTTTAAATCACACCCTATACACCTTCACGGACACCAGTTTAAAGTTGTTGACGTTCAGTTTGGTTCTTATGATAGTACAGGTCGTCTCAGTAGAGGCAATGCAGATATTGACTGTGGCGGAAGCCATTTGTGCACTGTACCAGATTGGAAGAGTGGCCGAGATTATTCCATTGGTAGAGAGGGCAAGGTTGATCCTTTAGCTCCTCTTAAAGATACCATTCAAGTCCCTGCTGGTGGTTATGTCGTGGCTTATGTAAGAACTATTAATCCAGGCCATTGGTTTCTTCACTGTCACAACGATCATCATCTTAGTACAGGGATGGGATCTGTTTTAAGCGAAGCTATTGATATGTTACCTCAACCTCCAATAGAGATGAAGAGACAATGTTATACATTACTGGATGTCACTTCTGATTGTATAAATGGAACGATAAGTGAAAATGGGCATATATGTCACCGTGAAGGGAGTGTTTCATTGGGAGCAATTTTTGGACTATTTTTCCTCATACTAGTGTCATTAGTACTATTAGCTGCTGCAATAACTCATCTCTGCTATTGTATTAAATGTTGCAAAGCTAAGAAGCATGATCACAAGGGTGCTTCAGTTAGCTTATTGATGACTAGATTAGATGGCTCAGACTCATCAGAAAACGAAACGTAAATTGGCTATAAATCATTTATCAACCAAAAATAATGTTTTTGATAATTTTAACTTATTGTATTATTATTATTATTATTATTTTTATTTAATTTTATCAGCAACATCTGGAGTTAGTACTGGTTTCTTTCTGCTAAGTTTATTCCTCCAACCTTTATTATTCTTTTTATATTCCAGTTCCACTGGTTTTGAGGGCTCATCACTTGCTTCTTCTAAAGTTTCAAGTGAAGATGTGTCTACTCCTTCACTTGCTGTATATTTTGGATTAGCTTTCAAATAATCTTGAAGCTCGCTCTCTCTTTCTTTTTTCTTCTTTGCTATGATGCTGTCTCGCTTTGCCTTGAGATAATCCTCTCTTGTCTTTAAATCACTGCTTCTAGTTACTGTGTGGCTCACCTGTCAACAAAAATGCAGCATAAAATAAGTACATCATTATTTTGATACCTGTGTGCTCTCGTGACTAATGGCTGTTTCAGCTTTGGCACTTTCAAGCCACAATAGAGCTGAATCTTGGCTAGTTGAATCTTTAGATTCACTTGCATTAATGTGAACACCAATAGCTGGCTTTGTACTGGTAATGCTACTCTCTTCTTCATGTGGACCTGTAGTGGTGGTCCCTTGTACAGAAGAGTTGGTAGCTTTTGATTGTGAACCTGCAGTGGTGGTATTTTGTACAGAAGAGTTGGTTGCTTTTGATTGTGAACCTGCAGTGGTGGTATTTTGTACAGAAGGGATGGTAGCTTTTGATTCTTCAGTTGATTCAGGAGGGACAGTGTCCTGCTCTATTTCAGCTCTCATTGGTGAATGAGGTGGATCGATATCCTCATGTGTTGTAGAGCCAATATCAGGAGATTGCGAATCTCCGGGTGCTGGTAAAACAGAGTCTTCAAGAGGAGTTGCTTTAACGTGAGCAGTGGGTAAGTTCAGGTAATGCTGTGTCTTCATCTCCGTCTCATAATACTTCAAGCTCTCCTCAGTTGCTTGTCTTAAAAGTCTTGCAAACTCTTCCTCTTCTTGGCTCACTTGTCGCTCATACTCAATTTTGCTCTCAATTAGAATCCGAGCAAGTTCCTCATCGTCATATTGAGTATCCTCCGAAGTAGCTCCTGTCGGTTTTTCCTTCATATTTTCATTTTTCTCTCTCTTCTTTGATAAAAGTTGGTACTTGTTATGCTTTGCTGCTTGTTGCTGCTTCTCAAAAGCTTTTTCTGCTTCCTCATTCAAACGGATATTCCTTTGGACCATTATTGATTTGAATAGGAGAAAGTCCTCAACTGCCATTAAAGGCTTGAACAATTCCTACTCATGCAGTTCTCATTAATAAAGGATATTCATAATTATACTTATATACCTTGAATCGTTTATTTTTAGCAAAACCATCAGAACAGGCAGACATTAGCTCAGAAAACGTCATATGTAGCTCTTGTAAGAAGAAGTTCTGTAGCAGCTTCTCGACCTAATGAAGTACATACATTTAATAGTGAGGTCTATCATCCAGTAAACTGTAAATCTAAATCTTAATTATTATTATTCATGCAAGCCCACTTACTATTGCTTTGTATTCATGATGGACGTCTGTATAAGTGAACTTGTTTTCCTCTCCAGCATCAAAAACTACAAAGGAATGGACTTGAGTGGTACTGTGAGTGACAATTATTAGTCTCACTCAAGCAATTCTGATCAACAAAATCTTCTATGTGATACTTCCAAAGTGGAGAGGTGAGAAACTGAACCAGCCCTTCTAAAAGCCAATCCATATTACAGACAGAAAAGAGGAGAGAGAAAGTGGGAGGAATGTTTTTGAATACTTTAACACACAAGCTGTTGTTTTGTTACTAGGAGCTTGGGGGTGTGGCTGGTTAAAAGTTTTAATTAATTGCAAGCATTAGGCACAGCAAAGTCGAGAGCAAGGTAAAATGGCAGCACCTAACAATCAACCACCAGCTCCAGAAAATGCTTCTTCTTTGTCTCCAAGTGAAGCAAGGGATATATTTCGAGTCAATAAGTACTATGGCACCACTGCTGGATTCTGCATGGATTATGTGCAGGCTAACTTAGTTGTTGTTCCCTCGTCTCTGGCCGATGAGCTGAAGGAGTTCTGTGCTCGTAACTCTGCGGCACTGCCTGTACTGTATGTCAGTCAAACAGGAGAAACCGGTGCTCCTCCATTAGCTAAAGACTCTGACGTTAGGTGAGGACTTATTGGCATTGACTTTGTGCTGAGTTGAGATGCAAAATATTGATTACATTTGTTTTGTTTCCAATAGAACAGACATCCCTAGATACATAATCTTTAGTCATGGAAGACAGGTACATGACATGCTTGATCTCCATGGTTTTGACTGGAAGGATTGCGTCTCATTTTACCTTGGCTGCAGTTTCTCGTTTGAGAAACCTTTACTGGACGCTGGACTCTCCATCTCTCACCTAAAGGATAAGAAGCTTGTGAGTATTTACGTGTCCGGTATCGACTGCTATGATGTGGGAGAAAGACTGAGAGGAGTCAAAATGACCCTTACAATGCGACCAATCAATAAAAAGCAGCTCCTAGATGCTGTTGCCATTACTTCTTGCTACCCGGTTTCAGCTCACGGCGCTCCTATACATATCGGAGACCCAAGTCTCATTGGTATAGAGGATATACACACGGATGCAATGGGAAGCACGGCGGTAATACCCGAGGGTATGGTACCTGTGTTCTGGGCTTGTGGAGTGACTGTAAGAGAAGCAATGAAGGCATTGGGTAAGTTAGAGAGAGGAAGAGTGTGGAAGGGAGAATCAGGGGGAAGTTTATTAGTGCATCTATTATAGGAGCGGACTTGTCATTCACACATTATCCTGGCTCAATGTTCATCACTGACGTGACTACCGACTCAACAAAGAAAGAACCCACCTCAGATTCCGAGAAACCCGTTGTCATTCAGATCTCTCCATCTCAGAGACCTTACTGGGGATCTGTGCTATCTGTTGAGGCTCAAAGGAAGATCCAAGCACTGGAGGAGATCATACTTGATGATCCTAACTCTTGCAACGTGAGAGAAATAAGAGAAGAAGGCGATTATTTAAAATCCTTGCTAGTTCTCTCTCATTCTCAATACATTGGACTCATTTTTGGTTTTCCTGCAAACTCTTTGATCCAATCCGGAGCCTCTCCTCTTGATTTTACGTGTGAAGAAACTGACGGTCCTCCTGGTGCCTTCTCTTTAGTGCAAGCACTGCAGACCTTATCGAAAAAGGTTGCCATCATTTCAGAGAAACGCAATGAAGAGCTAGTCAAAAAATGTTCGGATTTCCTGATGTCTTCTGGAGCATTAAAGTCTCCACTTGACTTCATCTCTTGTGAAGAAATACTCCAAAGCGAGTTGCTAGATTTCGATGTCTTGCTCTCCATAGAGAGATCAGGGAAGGCTCAAGACGGCTGCAACTACACCTGCAAAGGAAGAGACATAACTAAATTACTAGACCCGATTGATGAGCTGTTTAAAAGAGAACAAAAAAGCAACAGGTTGATCACCATCAGCATAGGAGACAGGGGCAATGAGCTTGGACTAGGTAGAGTTAGAGATAAAGTTAACAAGTACATGAATGGCGGGCCTCAATACGGCTGTGACATCTCTAGTGATTATGTTATTCTTTCTGGTGTTTCTAATTGGGGTGGATATGCTCTTTCTTCCGGCTTGTATCTGCTTGCTAATTGTCCCGTCCATAGCAGATATGTGAAAAGAGGAGTGAATGTGGATGAAAAAAATGCATCGAGTATAGCTGATTTCATTCCCACTGATCATCAAGTAACCTATTTATTTTTATTATTATTTTGTTTGAAAGATTACTATTTATATGAGATGTCTTTGATCAATGGCTGTACTATAAGTGTATATTTCTTTGTAGGCCAGTGGGGTGTTGAAGGTTCTAAATGACTTAGGAGTTTGTGATGGAATAAGCAAGAGCTTTGATCAATCTGTTGACAATCAGCCACTAGCTGTGCATCTTGAGAAATTGAAAAAAATGAGAGAAATTGTATAAACAATAATTATTGAAGAATTATTACTTCTTATTTTATAATGTATTGTAAAATTTCTCCGTATATTTTCAGTACATTCTCAATTATAGCAATTTAGATGATCTCCGTATGTTGCCGTTCACCTCCGCCATAAATTTAATAATACTTGGATATCTTTTCTTGGGGCCATTTCTTCTTCTGTTAAAAAAAGAGGGTAGTCATGGCAGACGAGAGAAAGGAACTGGATTGGGATTTATCTGTCAACGTTCCCTCCAAGGGAATAACGAGGAAACTCCGCGTGACCAGCAGCGAGTCCGTCCAGGCCATCATATATAAAGTGGCCTCTAAACTAGGTGAGACATTGCACGAGTTAATGATCTTTATTCAATGCTTGCATGTCTTTATATTTTACACACTATATACATATTATTACTTTATATCAATTTTGGTTGAGATTTTAATTATCCTCCCTCTCTCCTCTAGGTGAGGGTGATTGGTCTAACTTTGCCTTATGGTGGCCAGATAAAGGCGTGTGGCTCAGCAAAGTTCGACAGACGCTTTACTCTTACGGAATCATGTCGAATTCTGTTCTTGAGTTTACTTGTGTCCAGCGTAACTTTATTGTCGAGCTCCCTGATAGAACTCGATACATCATGCGTATACACGTAGCCATGATGACTTTTTATGTCGTGAAGGTAATCTGTGACACTTTGAATATTCGCCATGCCGAGGAGTTGTCCCTGATGAGGTCACCTTTTGATAAAGAGGGGTTAGTCGTTTCTCTTTCTCTTTCTTTCTTTTGGTACTTAAGTAGCTATTTCCCAAATCATAAACAAATACGGATTGTTTTTATCAAATCTCTCTCTCTCTCTCTCTCTCTCCTTTAGCTACGTCAAAGCAACAGGGTATCACAGAACAAAAGCAAAGAAGACCACCTTGGAAGCAGGACAGTCTGTCGAGGACCCCACTGCCTCTCCCGGCCACAAAACCAAGCTTCCCTCTAGCCTTGACCCTGAAGCAATGCTTCCAGGGAACGACATGAACAGTGGGGCGTCCATTGTCAAGAGGCTACCCGATGCACCTGAGAACGGGTTCTTTTCGGATAAAGTCTATCGCTCGGCTACAGAGAGAGCTTTCATTAATGGCCTGTGAGTCTATCATCATTAATATTATTATTTATTATGTAGATTAGCATTGCAAGGTGTGGGCGTACGTGTTTTGTTTATATTAAGTGTTGTGTCATTGTTTAAATTTGTTAAGTGTGTGGTAAAGTGTCCTGCTATAGTAAAGGAAGCGAGTGGGAGAGAGTATCACTTGTAAGGACATATATGTATCAGGAATCATATCCTGTATCACATTTAACTGATTATATTACACGTGTAGAGGAGAGGTGTGAAGGTATTGTTTTGATGTTTATGGAACATGTGTTTGTGTAGGCGTGTAGGAGTTTTGTTGATAATTTAATTTACGTTTTATAAACACACACGATCTCCAGTCATTTTGTCCATTTTAGAACATAATGTGAACCATAATAGTTGTAGCAGTTATTTAATATTCAATTATTAAACAGGTAATATGATTAAATGGAATTATTATGTAAACATTAAGTGGAGTCACTCTAGTTATGAGATGATTTAATTCCTCAAAACTCTAATTAGTGACATTATTTCATTTCTTAGTAATTTTGTTGTCACTCCAATGGATTCAACACTTATAGCGAATCACCTGAGCCCAGCATGTGTTCATCTGCCCCTTCAAAAGCTTCCTTTACTATTTAGTCTTCCACTTGTGTTATTTGTACATGTACATGTACATGTATTAGTACATTGTACGCCTACACTACTACTACACATTGTGTCAGATGTTCATGTCTGATTTTGTGTACACTAGCATGTGCCTAACATGTGCTCTTTATGTTGATTGTCCTCTGTTTGATGTGTTAGAGCCATTGCTCCTTTAGCAAATGTACACCAATAGACTAATAGACTAGTAATGGCAGCTAGTGCTTATACAATGACATTATTGGCCATCATTATTGATTATCATTATTGATTATTTCCTACATGTAGCTGGTTGAATTCTTCCAAGACTCTGTTTGAGCAAGAGGTCAATGAAGGTGACCTACTCTACCTTCGCTTCAGATACTACCCATTCATGGACATTGACCCCAGGGTAAGAACCACTCTGTTACCAAGACAACCAGTGTGTTACCAAGACAACTAGTGTGTTACCAAGACGACCAGTCTGCAATCCTTTCATTGCATATCAAAGGCGGTTGTTGATTGTTTTTATTTGATAATTAATTGTTGTCATTTTGCTTGTAATTAAAGTGCTGCTGACGTGTAGTGGATATGCTACCAAGAGTGACATTGTTGTTCTACATATCGTTTAGGTTGATGAGGCTCGCATTAATCAGCTGTATGCTCAAGCTAAGTGGTCCATACTGGTTGAAGAGGTTGACTGTACTGAGGAAGAGGTCTATACTTTTGCTGCTCTACAGGTAATCCTCATACATGTACATGTAGCTACTCAAAAACATGCCTATATTTTTATATTAAACCCTTTATTTTATGTTTTATTATGCTCTCTACTCTATAGTTTCAAATCAAGTTGGCTCAGAGCTCACCTGCCTATCATCAAGGTGCTGTGGCTCAAACGATTGATGAGCCGGTCACTGACATCAATGCAGCCATTGACCAGCTACAGGTATACAGTCCAGTGTCTTTGTTTTGGGCTCTCGTGATGCTTCTTTTCCTTCTTTCCTCTCTCTCTTTCTCATTTTTTATTTTTAGATTGAATTAGGTCAAACCAGAGACACTAACCCTGTGAGTTAATTATTTTTTATTTCAAGCATGGCATGTTTGTTTAGTATGTTTGTGTCATTTTTAGGAAAAAAACAAAGGCTATATAGCCCATGGTTTTTTCCAAAAAAATGGCTCCGAAATCACCCCAAATTTTTATTACATTTTCTGATACATATTGATGTCCTTATACTATGTAGAAAGTTTGAGCTGTTTCCGACAAATATTTTTCGAGTTATGAGCGTTTTAAAAAACGAGCCAATTTTTGAAAATTACCCAAGGCTATAGCCCATGGTTTTTTCCAAAAAATGGCTCCGAAATCACCCTAAATTTTTATTACATTTTTTGATACATATTGATGTCTTTATGCTATGTAGAAAGTTTGAGCCAATTCTGACAAATATTTTTTGAGTTATGAGCATTTTAAATTGCTCTAAAATTTGTCTTATAGCAGTAATAGTAGTAGGTTGTGAGTATTTTTAATGAGTCCATAAACTGTGTGTTTGTGTATGCTGTTGCTATTGGTACAGTATATTAAGTGATTGTTTGTTTTTAGGCTGAGAGTAGAGCACTTCAATTAACTGGTTATTGCAAATTTAGCAAGTGAGTCTAAAGTGGACTCTTAGTCTATACTCTCTCTCTTCCCCCCCCCCCCCTCTCTCTCTCTCCTTTCTCTCTAGGGGTTCAAGGATGACTCTCAAAGCTGCCAAGAGGTACTTCTTCCTCCTCAAAGGTACAACCCTCTGCTGCTACAAACATGAAGACTCTTACACGTCCGGAGAACCACCTCTGCAGCGATTCAACCTCACAGGTAGAGAGAGAGAGAGAGGAGAGAAGGGGCATCATTGTACTGTTAATGTGATTGGCAGGTGCTGAGGCAGTTCCTGATCTTGACCTGACAAAAAGGAAGTATTGTTTCAATGTTTTGCTACCCACTTCTGACGAGAATAAAGAATTGAGACTTTACTTTGACACTGTAAGAGGGAGAGAGAGAGAGAGAGAGAGAGAGAGAGAGAGAGAGAGAGGGGGGGGGATAGTTTATGATAAAGCAATGGAAGGTGAAAGAGAAAGACCATTTGTAATGTTGTTTTGTTCACACACACTCTCTCTCTCTTTCAATCTCAGGTTGATGAATACTCCTCTTGGATGGCTGGCTGTAGGATGGCCATTAAAGGTCGGCCATTGGTCAAGCAGGGATATGAACAGGAGCTGTCAAGCATTAAAGCATTCGTATCAATGCAGAACACATCAGAGGCTGGCCCTTCAGCAACCACAGTGAGAGATCAGATCAATAATTAATAATAATAATAATAATAATAATAATAATAATAAACCTGATCCCTACGAACTTGACTAACTTGTTCATGCATGCCTACCCTAGAGTTATCTTCTCTAGGGTCACGTGTTCAGCCTTATGCTGTTCACGTGTCTGTCGATTCTTCTAGAATCTTCAGAACCTGTTTATCTAGTTTCTGCTGTTGCTATATAAGCACAGCGTTATCGCTACTATCCTTTAGTGTTCTGGTTTACTGTTTGTTTTCAAATAATAATAATAATAATTTTTTATTATTATTAATTTTAATCGACCCTAATTATGGTTACTATGGTTCTATTAGTATTAGACTAAACTTGTTATTGTGTAATTATTTTGTTTGTTGTTTTTGTCAGGATGAGCTTCGTCCAGAGGACTTCGTGAGTCCAAGAATGCTTAAGAAACACAAACCCAAAGTGGTCAGTTTTTCTGCTTTCAAATAGATAAATATTTTTAATAATAATAATAATTTTTTAATATTGTGTAGATTGCAAGGCAGATACTTGATGCTCATTCCTCAATGCTTAACATGAGTCTTATGGATGCAAAGATGCAGTACATCAGAAACTGGCAGGCTCTCCAGGGATTTGGTATAACTTATTTTGTTATTAAATCAGGAAAATCAAAGAAAGATGTAAGAGAGAGAGAGAGACGGAGAGAGAGAGGGGGGTAGGTGTGGTAGTATGCTGTAACTATAAGAAGTACTATTGATCAACCATATACTGCTATACTTAATAATAAAGCAGGATTTGCCATGCTAAGTGAGCTAAAAAGCATCTTTAAAAATTTGTAAAAAATTTAAATTTGACTGGAATCAGTTCAAATTTTCTACACATCACAAGAACATGTATATGTATCAGGAAAAATGATAAAAGTCAAGAATTTTCTACTTTTCATTTTTGACAAAATTTGGCCATAATCCCTGTACTATAGTACAGGGACTTTGGCCTGATTTTTGAGCAATTTTAAAAACTTGTAAAAAATCCAAATTTGATCAGAATCAGTTCAAACTTTCCACACACCATAAGAACATGTATACGTATCAGGAAAAAATTATATTTTCTTTCCAACAGGAGTTCCTTGGAATAGCCTATAATCGTCTTATTCTATTTGATGCCCACACAATGGAAGAGAAGAACATCTGGCGATACAGTGCCATGAGGTCGTGGAACGTGAACTGGGAGTCAAAGACTATGAAAATCGACCACGAGCAGGACAAGATTTCGTTCACATGCACTTCTGCTGATCTTAAGATTGTCCACGAGTTTATTGGAGGGAATATTTGGCTCTCTCTCCGTAAGTCAGGAGACGATTTAGACGTCGGGATGTTTGTGAAGTTGACTGGAGGCGTGGCTTCTAACCTGGAGGGATGGGGAGCTGAAGTTATGGCCCAGTTTAGTTAGAGGACTATTATTATTATTATTATTATTAAAGATATATTTAACCTCTCCTTTGTCTCTTTCTCTCTCTTGAATCTTCTCTTTTCTGTGAGCGTGTGTTTTGTTTGTTTAGATGATTTGAAGGACTTTGAAGTTTTAAAAATATTATTATTATCATGAATTATTATTACATTATGTTTCTGTCTTAGCACACTGATAGTTTAGATTTTTCTGTGGTGTTCATTTACTCATTTTTGGTTTATCATGAGAAAATTGAATGACAAAAGCTGAAGATTAAGACCAGTGGGTGTAGCCTTACTTATTTACTTTGAGTCGTTTGATTTGCATTCAATGTAATTTTGTATGTTCATCCCTAGCCAGAGAAAACTGACCTTAGGATTAAAAAAGAGCTCTACAATAAAATTAATATTAATCCAATTGCAGCTGGTCATAAAAATATGAATTGTTTTTGACACCTTGTTCACACCTAGAGGTGTGAACAAGAACAGGAAGTTGTAAATTTTAATTAAAATTCATTTTTTTAGTTTCCCAACCAGTAAGAGTACTTTTGGAGTAGAGTCCATAAAGATATAGCCATAATTATGATCATAGTTATCATTATTTTTTAAAAATATTATGCATCGCTATCAAACTATTAATAAAACAGAACAAAAATAAGAATAACATCAGTATGGTATCAATAATAATAATAATAATAATTACCTGAAGACAACAAGTACACAAGATATCATTACTATAACACAAGAACAATAATATTGTCAATAAGATTAGTGCAACTTTACAAAAATAATTATCTCCAATTTATTCCATATTTTAATACGAGTCTCTATCATGCTAAACATAAACGACCGCTCCTTCCACATGGGCGTGGTCAGAATCACAAGGAGGCGTGGTTGACGAACTGTTCCTCCTCCAAGAAGAAAATAATTTTCTTCTTGTCTTTTTGTTATCGCCAGCGACAGGGCTATCGGCACTATGAAGGCGTGACCTGTTTTTACTAGCCACCGCCCCCTCGTCCTCCACTTCCTCGAGAAGGTTTTCAGTTGATTTGTGAGTCTTCCGTTTCTCGGACTGTTTCTTTGAGTTGAGATCAGCCAGAGAATTATAAAACCTCTTTCGCTCGATGGAGCCTCTACGAGGAAGAGACGAGAGGTTGTGGGTGGTTCTAGAGGGTGTGGTTTGACTTGTCTCAGACCCGCCGGAAGAAAGGGGCTGGGTCAAAATGATGTCTTCTTTCTCGGGCTCGTTTGATTGGCGATGAGAAGGCGGGGCAGGTAAGGGACGCGATGAGACCGGCTGACTGGTTGGGACAAAGGGTTGTGTGGAAATTGGACGAAAAGAATACGAAGAAGTGGCCACGGAGGAAACCTTAGGAACAAAGGAATGAGCACTAGACGTGGGAACAGTTCCAGGATCCCTTGATACTGTAGAAACAAAAACATTGTTGTTGTTATTATTATTGTTGTTGGTGTTTAAGTTTGAAAGAAGCATTTTATCATAACTTTCCTCTTGAGTGGTGGAACCAGATGAAGTATAAGAATGCTTGTCATCCTAAAAATTAATAATAAAATAATAAAACAAAAATAAATAGTCATACAGTCGGTGTCATACCTCATCAACCTCAGGTATGGAAAGTGTATCATCAGTTCCCTGGAGGGTCTTTAAGAAGTCGGTGATGTCAGCCTGATCAAAATGAGGATTAGAAGCCCCAGGACCAAGATTATTCATGCCAAAGAGCATACTACCTCTGGGCGTGGCTGGAGGAGTGGCTATCGAGGCACGCTTGAGCTCCATAAGCTTCCGCTAAAATTAATAAATATATTAGTATATCTCAGTATACTCTCAGTATACTTACTCTGTTTGGCGTCTTGACAGTTTCGGCGAGAAACTCTTCGAGCGACATGACATCCGGCGACGACTTATCCCTCATACCCCCAGGGAGGTAAGAGACAGAGGAGAGAGAGGAAGGGAGAACATCAGTGGAGGATGGTACAATAAGAGACTGAGTTTTCCTTTGCCGAAGGGTAACTGGAGTATTGAGGAACGGGCCACGGGGCACGTACTGATTGACGTCTGGAGCACTTCCCATTGGATCAAGGTTCTCGTTGCTGCCCCCGGAGTGATGGGAGTTTGACGAGATGCTTTGGTTCGACGAGAGAGAAGAACCATCTCCTCCGCGAGCGAGATAAGATGGGGGGAAGTTGATGGTGTGGCGAGGAGAATAAGAGGTGGATGAGGCTGGCTCTACGCCTTCAATCTCGGGGATCTTATAAGAATTATTCTATTAAAGAGGAAAGTAGATAATAGAGCAATGTCAGCTATTATTAGGGACAAGAAAGAGAGAGGGAGAGAGAGGGAAGGAGTATTCTTACTTGGAATTTGTTTTTCAGTTTCTTCAATCCTTTCTTTAAAAGATTTTTGCTCTTTTCCCTAATAAAAGTAAATGATTTATATACAATGTACAAAGTACAGTGTGTACAGTATATGTACATTACTTTACCTCTTTCTCAGCATGTCCATTTCCATTGCCATGGTTTGTTTCTGCTGGTGGATGAGCTGCTCTGATAACTTGTTCTTCTCTTTCTCTAACTCGCCTAACTTGTCACTATAAAAAAATATCAAGATAAATAATTATTAAAATTAAAATTAATATTCAATATTACGAGAATATTCGTTCTTCCTCTAACTCATGGTCTTTAGTCTCTAGTGTCTTGTAAAGCAAGCTTTGGTTCTAGAAGAGAATTAGATGCATTAAACATTATTATTATTATTATTAAATATTATGTACTTGTTCTAGGAGTTTATTGACTTGCATTAAAAGTGTCTTCTTCTCTTCCTCTAAAGTTTGATTGAGTTGCTCCAACATCTACCAACAAACACACACAAAATTAAATGTACAAGTACAGCAAAGGATTTCCTACCTCTTGTCTCTCCTGGAGTGTGTCTAGCTTGTGTTGCTGGTGCTTCATAATGTGCTTGGAATCATTAAAACTGGCCGCTAACTGAGCATTCTGAAGAGAGAGAGCGTATGTGAGAGAAGTAGTTGGGGATATCCCTTACCTTTTCTCTTAATCTTAGCACTTCCTGCTCCTTCACAGAGTGGACCCTAACATGCAAATCATAACTAATAATTTTCATATTTATTTTATAGTTCAGCATACGGTGTGGTGCTGGTGTTAGGCTGGTGGGTGGGGCTGAGTGGACTCCTCCTCTTTAACGAGCTCATTTCGTTCCTCAGTGACTCATTCTCTCGTATGACCTCAGTCAGTCTTCCCTCCAGCTGGTTGATCCTCCCTTCTTTTATCGAGAGAGACTGCGATAGAGCTTCGTCAAACTTAGTACTGAGATCAGATATCTTTTTCTGCTCCCGTCCATCAGTGACAGGATCCGAGGGATTAGCTGCTGATTTCTGTAACCGCTCCACTTGTTTGGTTAGAGTCGAGGCAACATCTTTCTCGTGTTTGAGTTCCTATAAACGACAAACAACAAAAATCAATAATAATAATAACAACAACAATAATCAATAACAACATCAATAATAACAATAACAACAACAATAACAACAACAATCAATAATAATAATAATAATAATAATAATAAATAATAATAATAATAATGATGATTTACTTCTTTGAGTTTGACCACTTCTTTCCTCTCGGTGTGGAGTTGGGTGTTCAACTTCTTGTTATTTTTCTCAATCTCGGCAGCTGCTCTCTCTGTCCTTTGCTTGTACAGTTCGTAGGTTCTCTGGAGGTCACGATGATCTCTCTCTAGACGAAGGAGCTTTGCACGATTAGCACTAGAAAAGAAATAGAGTAGAATATTTGGTGCATTAATAAATACTTACAGTTCATTCTCAGACAGGAGCTGTCTAACAGGAGAGTTTGATCCACCTAAAATATTTTAAATTAATCTCAAACGAGTCCCTCTATCCTTTTCTTACTATTCTCTTCTTTTTTTACTGAAGAGCTGGCAACTGAGAGTGATAGTCTCAGCTTATCCAGTTCGGTCTTCATTGACTCAATATCATTACGACTAAAAAAATTTAATTATTAAAATATAAATGCAATTTATCAAATTAAACTATTATTCTGGAGGCAGTGGTACACATGTACATGTACGTGTGTATAGTTTCTACTTTCCTTTTTTTGTGTATGTATTCTGTTCCTACTTTCTATCTCTTTCCATTTCGAGTTGAGCGTTCTCAGTCATTAGACTTTGCATCCTCTGCTCGTCGTCTTGTCTTTCTTCTTCAAGACTGCTTACTCTCACCTTCAGGGCAGCATTCTCTCCCTGCATGTCACCTGATGAATCAAAGGAGAGGAGTCCATTAGTTACTGTACTGGAGTCAGCAGTGTGTAATACATTATTAGGTCATTTTATTTAGAACATCAAATATTGGTCAAAATGGAGAGCCATTTTTAAGAAACTTAATTCCCTCTAAAAAACCCATTAGTTTCATTGTCACAAAATCTGTGACAAGCAAAAACCCATTAGTTCCATTGTCACGAAATCCGTGACAAGCAAAAACCCATTTCTTCCATTGTCACAAAATCTGTGAAAATTTTTTAAAATTGTAAAAAATCCAATTTTGATCGAAATCAGCTCAAACTTTCTACACAACTTGAGTACATGTATATGCATCAGAAAATATTATAAAAATGAAAAATTCTCTACTTTTCATTTTTGTTGAAATTTGACCAAAATCCCTGTACTATAGTACAGGGACTTTGGCCCGATTTTTGAGTAACTTAAAAAATTCATAAAAAATCTAATTTTGATCGGAATCAGCTCAAACTTCCTACACAACATAAGAACATGTATATGCATCAGAAAATATTATAAAAATGAAAAATTCTCTACTTTTCATTTTTGTTGAAATTTGACCAAAATCCCTGTTATAGTACAGGGACTTTGGCCCGATTTTTGAGTAACTTTAAAAATTCGTAAAAAATCTAATTTTGATCGGAATCAGCTCAAACTTCCTACACAACATAAGAACATGTATATGCATCAGAAAATATTATAAAAATGAAAAATTCTCTACTTTTCATTTTTGTTGAAATTTGACCAAAATCCCTGTACTATAGTACAGGGACTTTGGCCCGATTTTTGAGTAACTTAAAAAATTCGTAAAAAATCTAATTTTGATTGGAATCAGTTCAAACTTCCTACACAACATAAGAACATGTATATGCATCAGAAAATATTATAAAAATAAAAAATTCTATACTTTTCATTTTTGGTGAAATTTGACCAAAATCCCTGTACTATATAGTACAGGGACTTTGGCCCAATTTTTGAGTAACTTAAAAAATTCGTAAAAAATCTAATTTTGATCGGAATCAGCTCAAACTTCCTACACAACATAAGAACATGTATATGCATCAGAAAATATTATAAAAATGAAAAATTCTCTACTTTTCATTTTTGATGAAATTTGACCAAAATCCCTGTACTATAGTCCATGGTCTGTGGTCAAATTCTGAGCAACTTTAAAGTAAAACTTTTTAAACAATAAAAATGGTACTTTCAACCTTGATACATGCATACTAAACTTCGTTTACCTATTCTATCAAGTTTTGCCTGATAACTGTTAATCTCCTCCTCCATTAGTATCTTTGCTTCAGTTAATAGCAAGTTCTGTTGCTTAAGCTCCTACAAAAAATAAAAAAAATTGCTAAATAATAACAAAAAACACATAATTGCATATACAATATAACAAGTAATGATCCCCCAACTTACAGCAATTTTCCCATGGGCTGCCTCCACTTCTTGAGTCTTATCATTTTCGTTCATTTTAACTGAAGACTGCTTCCTCTCTAACCTACTAGTCTATAAAAATAAAAATAATAACAACAACAATAATAACAACAACAACAACAACAATAATAATAATAATACAAACATACATACATACAATATACATATCTCTCTCTCTCTCTTCATTACTCTTCTCCGTCCTTGCCTTTGATTTATAGCTCTGAAGCTCTTCCTTCAATTTGACCAGCTCCTTCTTGTCGAGGTGGCTCTGCTCTTGTAGCCTCTTGTTCTTCTTCTCTAGTTCAGTCACCTTAGCTTGAGAGTGTCTCAGAGACTCCATCGTCTTTTCCATTTCCTTTGCTTCCTTTTCAAGTCTTTGGAGCTTAGCCTTTGCTGCCCTAAAAGAAGGAGAGAGAGAGAGAGAGAGAGGGAGAGAGAGAGAGAGAGAGAAGGAGGGAGGGAGGGAGGGAGGGAGGGAGGGAGGGAGGGAGGGAGGGAGGGAGGGAGGGAGAGAGGGAGAGAGGGAGGGAGGGAGAGAGAGAGAAGTACACGTACAACGTAGAAGAGAGGTCCACAGTAATGACTTACATGTCAGTTTCGCTGACTCTTGATGGAGTTAGAACAGTCATCTTGGCTCCTCCCACTCCCCCGCCCCCTTTGCTCAGCTCGGCAGTTAATAAATCAATCTTCTCGGAACTAAGAGCAATAGGAACATTAAAAGTGATACGCTAATCATTCTCTCACCATTTCTGTTTCTCTAGCTCTAGTTGAGCATTCTGCTCCATTAGCTCTTGCACACGAGCTTGATCTTCAATATGCTCCTATAGATACAACAAAGTAATTTAAAATGAACAATTATACATCACATATTTATAATTGTACATGTACACATGTACATGTATATACTCACAGTATTCAGAGTGTCAATCTGCACTTTCAGTTGAGCGGATTCACTCTTTAGCGTTTCCAGCAAAGTCACTTTATTCTGCAAATTGTCCACTTCATCCTCAAGCATTGCTTTAGCCTCCAGTATCTGTTCATTACGGGATTTCAGTTCCTTAAGACGAGACTGCATGCGACTCCCTTCCTCCACCTTCTCTCTTTGAGCTGTCAGTTCTGCTTGTAACTTATCTACCCTGCTGGCCTGAGAAGAGAGAGAGAGAGAGGAAGGAGGAAGAGAAAAGAGATAATGACATGTAAGTAAACAGTGAGTGATATAGTACCTTCACTTTTAGCATCTCAAGTTCCTAAGGATAAAGAATAATACTAATGATACAGTCAGAGAGGCTCTTACTTCTCTTAGTTTAATGATATCTTTACGGTCAGAGTGATTCTGGGTGTAGAGTTTCTTGTTTGTCTTCTCTAGTTCGGCTACTTTAGCTTGAGCGTGTCTCAGTGCCTCCATGTTCTTCTCCATTTCTCTTGTCTCCTTCTCCAGACGATTCAGTTTGGCTCTTTGAGCAAGATCAGCCTCAGACATCTCGAATCCTAAACTAGACTCACTGCTCCCGCCCGAGACAACGCCTAAAAACAAACGAATACATGTACATGTGAAATAAAGAGCAATAAATGGTGCCTAGTGACAGCCTCTCCCTCTCCTTCCCTCCCTCTCTCTTCTATCCTTTACCAGCTGCAGACATTCTTTCTCTCTCTGTTTCTAGCTCTGATAGCAATTGCTGAATCTGCTCTTGACTAGAAATAAGAGAAATTGTGTATGTGTGGACACATACAGTATATAATAAAACAAGAGGATCATCCTAATACACATACTTGCTCTTGTTCTCAAGGTCTAGTCTTGCGGTTTGTGCTACCAGTTCCTCTATCCTCTCCATGTCCATCTGCTTCTCTTGATTGAGAGCATCCAGCTGTACTTTATAAGATGCTATTTCAACCTGAAGGTCGTCAACAGTGTCCGCTTTTGAGGTCAGGGAAGTCACTTTCTGTTCAAGGAGAGTCTTTGTCTCAATCATAAGCTCATTTTGCTGTTTGAGCTCCTGAAAAAAGAGTAAGACAAAGAGAATGAGAGGGTACAAAAAAGGAAGGATTAAATCATGCAAACTCTGTTCATATTCTTACAAGGACTCGTTTCTTTAAGTATTCGACATCTTCCGCTTTTTGACGATATTTTGTGACGTCTGTTTCCAGCTTCTCCATCTTGGCACTCTGTGCATGCAATCAAGTGGAAACAAGGGATAATTAAATATCAGTTATTAGCGCCTCTCAGAGCTAACGAATATCAAAAACTCTACTCACTTGAACTTTAAAGGCTTCCAACTCATCCCTTAGTGCACGAGCACTCTTGGCATCGTCGAGAAGTTCCAGTTTCTAAAAATAGGATATAAAACTGGGCTTGGTCGAGTGGGCGTGGCTTACTTCAGAATGTAGCTTTTGTATGGCAGCCTTTGCTTGCTCGAGAGACTGTGACATTTCAGTAATCATGTCAGTCTTCTGATCGCTAGAGTAATAATAAATAGTAACTTATAACATAAAAAGGGACTAACATGTCTTCCTGGTACGCCCTTGCTTGTTTCTTCAATTCTATCAATTCAGGATTAACTTGTGGAGATGGGCTTGCTTTAACAGACGACACACTTAACTGTCCCTATTTAATACATATAACCACACCCTCAAACCACACCCCATTGATTACCGGCTGATCTTTATAAAAGTCCCTCTCTTGGACAGTATCGATGAGGTTCTATAAAAGAGACAGATCAAAACTAAAGACAGGTAATGAAACTCACATCAAAGAGACCATCCCTGTCCTTAGCAACCTGCTGGAGATAAAGATAAGCCTGTCTACATAAACCCTCTAATTCCCTGATAAAGAGATGGATATAAGTTACACGTGCATGTATACATGATACAAATTACATTCTTGCTATCCCTGCCATGTCATCAGGCTCCCAGTCCAATGAGCAAACAAACTCCGTTGTCTCAGTGATCTGTAATGGAAAGTGTATGAGTCGTGTTAACATCTTGTTGAGTAACTAGAAAACATAAACTATCTCTCTCTCTCTCTCTCTCTCTCTCTCTCTCTCTCTGTGTATGTTATTATGTCTCTCCTTCCTCCAACCATTACTTTGCTTCCTTCCCTTCCGTTTACCTTTTCTCTACACACACAATTACAATTGTATATTTGCTTATGTACATTGTACATATACATCCCTCCCTCCCTCCCTCCCTCCCCCTCTCTCTCTACCTTTTGTATGTAAAAGATGAGTCCTTGTTGCTGCTCCACTTCCATATTCTTCATTTGTTCCACGAGGTTTGTCTTGTGGTCGCATTGAATGGCACACCCCAGGAGAAGAATAATGAGCCTTTCTAATTCATCGAGGGACTTCTCTAAATTATAAAGAGAGAGAAAGAGAGAGAAAGAGGAGTTACAGGACCTGTTCAAAAGTAAGCTCAAAAGTAAAGGTGCTCATACCAGATTCTGGTTTGTGTGCGATGGTATCAACATCAGGGAGTGGCGCCAGCACTAGCTGCTGCTGTGAGTTAAGATAGAAATGAAGTATTGAATTAACGACTAGCTGGAGGTTCTGGAGCCTCAACGAGATGTCTCCTCCTACTGAGCGATTGACCCGTGTCATGCCATAAGTGTTAGGATCACTAAAGAGAAGAAAGGAATAGAGCATATCCTATTAATAAGTGTGACACTTGTGGTGGCAGGTATGTGATTGTTATTGATTATTATTGAAGGTTTGTTTTATATCTAATACTCCTCCTACCACCAATCATATACATGTACACTCCCTCCCTCTCTCTCTCTCTCTCTCTCTCTCTCCCTCTCTCTCT